GAGATTACTTGCAAGAGATGTAAAATATTCACAAAATTTGTTAGCAATTATTCGTCTGCAAGTAACTCTCTGGCCATCTATGACAAAATCGTCCTTACATCTAGACAAATTTTTACCACGGAGTTCATTTATAACTTCCCAAGTCTTTTTCGAATTCATGCTGTACTTCTCGAATTTTTGAGTATAGCACATAGCCTTTGCCATATTTATTGACCTTTTGAGAAACTTGTCGAATTCCTTGTAGTAGATGTGCTTGTTTGGGTCCCCGTCAGGTAGTTTTAATGTACAAGTCTTCTTCCATTCGAAATACAACCTAGCTTTCTTATCGATGGAATTAATTAGGCCCTGGGTAATCCAAGGGTTGGTTATGCTGTTACGTTTAGTGGTTCTAGGAGTTAGAAGTTTGCAAGACAAATCTATCTTTTCTTGAAATAACTGCATGAAAGAATCAAATGTGTTACAGCTGTGGTGGAACCTATCTACATCGTTTTCTATTTCAAGACAGAGCTTTTCTAAGTTAGCATTACTATAGTCGTAGTGTATAGTAATTTTGTCTGATGAATCAGGTGTTGGCACAGAGTCAGGGGAAAGTTCAATAAGAGTGAATATAGGGTGATGGTGGGAGATCTTGTCAGATATCACACCAGAAATAAGGGTTTGATCTACTACATTGGTATGGATATTGTCAATACAGGTCCTGGAACAGCCAGGCATTTGGTGAGTTGGTACTGATATGGTTGGTATGAAGCCGTTGTTGAATATTATTTCTTGGAATTTGTCCTCTGATGGAGATGGGTCCTTCAACATGTTTATATTGAAATCACCAAGAATATATACTTTTTTGCCATTCAGTTTTGAGAGAATACATTCATATGCTTCGTTGAACAGTTCAAGTGATGCGTTTGGGGGACGGTATATAACCCCTACAACAGTTGGGTCTTGCAAGCTAGTGATGGATACGAACAGTGATTCTATGTGTTCATTACAGAGAGATAAGCCAGGGATTTTGTTAAAGTTAAAGGAGTTGTGCAGGTAAAGACACACTCCTGATCCTTTACCCTTGAACTGGTTTTTCTTTTGACAAAAATAACGTGATTGGTAACAGGAGGAGTATCCGTTAAGCTGATACAGAGTTCCATTTTCGGGATTAGTATTTGTTTCTGCAAGACCGATAACAGAGAATTTGTGGTCGATACAAGACAGCTCAACTGCAAAGTTGTCAAAGTTTGATGCATTTCCATCAATATTTAGGAATAATTTGGACAAATATTTAGCTGAATTTTTAGGTAGGATGGTAGCATTCAACTCAGTTATGGAGAATGTTTTGCAATTTTCAAGAATCTTTGAGCTATTGTAGATAGATTCAATATAATTAACTGGCTCATCATCAATGAGGCCATTGTTTGCAAAGTGTGGAGCTTGGTAGAAAGGGTTGTACCGTACAATATCATTGGCATCAGTGCATATTTTGCAGTATGTTGCATCTCGAAATTTGGTTATGTTATCATCAGTTTTACATTTTTTGTGCATTATTTTGTCACACATCTGACAAATCAAAAATGGATGTCCAGCACGCACAGGTCTATCGCAACAGCAGCAGATTTCGCATATCAGTTTGACTACCATGACTGGATTACAGATCTACGAGAACGTGGGGAAAATCTATTTTGGGCCTTGGTAACATCACTGAACAACCTCCCATCAACGGGGCTACCTAGAATCTTATGGGCAATTGCCCGGGAGAGTTTGAAGATACCGCTTGACCCCAGGTGGATTGGGTCATCCGGCTTCTTGTACCTACAAAACTGTTTGTTCAGTAGACCCTCCTCATCGACAAAACTATCAAAATCTAAATTTCCTATTCTAGCGTTGGTATTACAGTACCCAAACAATATACTATTAAACTCCATGGCTCTCTCATTTAGCCAGGAGGACCTAGTTGGTAGGATTGGTGAAACTATAACTTTAGAGTAAGGACAAATTTCACAAATATTCGTGAGCTTCTTCGTCAGCTCATTAGCCCAGTGTTTAACATCACCCCCTCCCCTCTTAACGACTGTAATGATTCCATTAAATTTTCTTAGTACATTTAGCTAGTTTATAGTAGATACACACGATCACAGAATAGAAGAGCACAATTGGGCTCTTTGTTCTGCGACCGTGTTTCCTCGGTGGGCCGACAGGTTTTTGTTGTGTAGTAGTGCTGGGGAAAAACACGCTTTGAATATCAATGAATGTAAATATTGTTAATTGACATTAGTGCCACAGTTTCTGTGGTAAAAACAAATTTATGGTTAAACATTATATATCGTAGAAGGGCATGATTTACGCACATCACCAAGCATCTGGATGGATAATTAACACACAAGGATAAACTGACCTTTAAACATGACCACCAGCAATATCATATAACCATAGCTCCGAAATAAATAAATTGCTCTACATAGAAACATCTGGCCTGATCTTATCACATTGTGGTCCCCAGGGGTTCGGTAAAGCCCTTACAGGCAACTGGGTCCTTTTACCAGCCACAATTAAACTAGTCATGCCAGTACTGTCATAAACTGTAACCAACTATTTAAAAATAAGATATCTTTTGCTAGAAGAAGAATAAGATATCTTTTGCTAGAATTTTAAATTGTAAGCCATAGAGCAATCTTCTCAATTTTAAAATTTAAAAATAACATTTTACCCTAACTATGATGTGGTGGCATTTCATACTTAACTAAATTTCAACTTTGAAAGTCAATAGATTATTAGTCACAACAAAATTATAGTTTAAGACATCCATTTTGCATTGTGTTTCCAATATTAGAATTTATGATATGTATTGATTGAATAATTGGTAATAAATTTAACTTTTGTTTTATTAACTTTTGTTTTATTAATATTATTTACACCACAGTGTACTACAACATTCTTATATCCTACACAAAGGGCAGGGTCTAACTGATCTATTGTGAAGCATTCAAGTCTTTTTCCAGGCAGTTTGTGACCGAATGTCCCTTTTCCAGCACCAAATCGGAGGAACCGGGTATTTGAGTCACCAATAATCAATGTTGCATTGCTACTGCTGCTCACGTAGCGGAATGTTATACTGAATCTCACGTCCCTCCTTTCACTGCTCTTATCTATTCTGTGGTCCCAGAGGAACTGAGACTGCTTGCTCATGATATATAGACTGCGTCCCTCTATTGTCTCAATGACTTCCCCACTTTCTGATCCTTTCATTGAGAACTTAACTGAACACTGGCTTCCTAACGATACAGTGAAAATCGAACTATCATGCACAAGCGAGTTCTCGTTATCCGAGTGTTTAGGGAGAAAACTGCTCTCATCATTGTACCGGTTGATCAGGCATTGATTAATAACTGTTTCAGGGCAAAGCTTCTTTATCCTTGAGGCAAGTTCAGCAAGAACTTCAGGCAGGTCTTCTGATATGGGCTTAGCAGCTTTTGCCCCGGGGTAATCATATCGTTCACCAAAGCTTATAACTCCATGCCCGTTTTCTGTGTTCTTGACAAAATCATCGTTCTGTTGAGCAAGGAAATCTAATAGCTGAGAGTTCAAGGTTGTATCAATGAATTCTGGTAAATAAGACATGATGTGCTTAGACTTAGGGTCGTCTGCACTTGAAGGCTTCTGTGCATCTAGCAGGAGCTGTTCATGGTCTGTTTCACAGGCTGCTGGTGGCCCTATGATAAAAGGAGGCATGGGCAGGTCAGGAGTGGATACGTTTGAGGATCTGCTGTTTTTGAAACAGTTAATATCAACTTTGAGCTCAGCAAGCTTGGTGTTTATGGAGTCAAGAGTCCTAAGGTGGCTATCATTGTCTTTCAAGTTTTTAATGGATGTTTGAATATCTTCTAAGGACTTGTGTATAGAGCTTTCGTTAGAAGTAGTATGACCCATTGGAATGCTGGAGGGGGCTGACAAATAAGAAGGGGACTTAACCTCGTGGTCACATCTCTTGCCACTTATTACAGCACAGACATTTTCTGCAAGGCCAAGCAGGGATAGTAGACCCTCTGCTAAGGTGAGTTTTTTAAGAGATGGGCAGCTCTTAACCATAGATGGCGTTATGATTGCAAATTTGTTCACATCAAGTTTTAGAATGTTACAGATGTTGAGCTTAATGATATCTACCTCTGAGCGCAGGCTCTGCGAGTGAGTCAACAGGAAGTTGTCAAGGGGGGTAGACCCTGAGAAGAAACTAAGGAGGCTGCTACAATCTTTATTTTCCTCTGATTCGTGGTATTCTGAAAGAATTATATTTTCAACATCCTTCAGTACTTCGTCAATTTCCACCATAATGGTAGGAGTCGTGGGTGCAGGTGTAGTCTGATCCGGAACCGTAGTAGTTGAAGTCTGGTCCGGAACAGATTGAGAAGAGTCAGTGGGTGTATCGTTCATGGCGTAGAAGCAATTGGGGGTACCAGGCAATCCAGGGGGCACCTTCACGTCCAACCAGCACACTCCCTGGAAAGAAAGAAAAGCAGATAACAATTTCAAATGTTCCGTTGTGGAAAACAATGAAAGTGTATTTAAACTGGATTAGTCAAAATGATTCAAAAGATTGAAAAATTGAACAGACTGACGGACTACGACACATGGGACAAGAGAGTGAGTGAGTATGAAAAATATGAGGTGGTTGGACTGGCAAGCCCTATCATTTAATCAGAATACATTAAATATAATCCATAAGCCATATATATGTCAGCCTGTTCTTGGAGCACAGCCCCAAAAGTTATCAGAAGTATTGGTTCAAGATTTAAGCTCAAAATTCTTTCAACACTATCTATACATTAATCAGGGTTGTCCAATTGTCCAATTGTGGATTGTGGTGTGAATGGAGTTATACATTTCCAAACAGAAACATTATTCACTACAACTACTTAACTTCTTAACAGGTTAGCGTGCCAGTCTTCTGATTCAGCACCCCCTGGACCATCATAGTACCCCCGATGCAGTTGACTTTAGCAAGCCATGGACATATTGGACATCCTCAATAAATGTAATAGATTTGTAGTGTTGTAATTAGTTTAAAATAAAGCCTGTCTCTGAAGAAGGAGAGACGATAAAAACGTGATACGATACGGTATATTGAAATAAAGCCAGTCTCTGAAGAAGGAGAGATGATAAATACGTGATACGAAACGGTATGCGAAAGCTATGTAGTTGATCAGACTTAAAGTTACGTGTTCTTAAGAGGGTGAGAGGTTCTTTAGTAAGGCCGACTGATTAAATGAGGCTCTGAAATGAACAGGAATCTAGCAATAATAGCATGGAGAGTGGGGAAAATCAAAACGCGGAATAATAATCTAACTCTAAGTTAACGATAAACTGGTACAGAAATCAAAAGTCCGAACACGGAGTCTAGGAGTAGGAAATAGCTGTGAACCAAACAAACAGAATGGCACCCGTGCATGATATATTAAAATATGTACCGTTCTAGGATGCCTCCGCAAACTTTTGCTCCTCTGTAAATGCATGTGTTAGTGCTGTAGCGAAAGCTATGTAGTCGATCAGACTTCAAGTTACGTGTTCTTATTAGGGTGAGAGGTTCTTTAGTAAGGCCGACTGATTAAATGAGGCTCTAAAATGAACGGGAATCTAGCAATAATAGCATGGAGAGTGGGGAAAATCAAAAAGCGGAATAAATAATCTAACTCTATAAGTTAACGATAAACTGGTACAGAAATCAAAAGTCCGAACAAGGAGTCTAGGAGTAGGAAATAGCTGTGAACCAAACAAACAGAATGGCACCCGTGCATGATATATTAAAATATGTACCGTTCTAGGATGCCTCCGCAAACTTTTGCTCCTCTGTAAATGCACGTGTTAGTGCTGTAGCGAAAGCTATGTAGTTGATCAGACTTCAAGTTACGTGTTCTTATTAGGGTGATAGGTTCTTTAGTAAGGCCGACTGATTAAATGAGGCTCTGAAATGAACAGGAATCTAGCAATAATAGCATGGAGAGTGGGGAAATCAAAACGCGGAATAATAATCTAACTCTAAGTTAATGATAAACTGGTACAGAAATCAAAAGTGTAGGAGTAGGAAATAACTGTGAACCAAACAAACAGAATGGCACCCGTGCATGATATGTTAAAATATGTACCGTTCTAGGATGCCTCCGCAAACTTTTGCTCCTCTGTAAATGCACGTGTTAGTGCTGTAGCGAAAGCTATGTAGTCGATCAGACTTCAAGTTACGTGTTCTTATTAGGGTGAGAGGTTCTTTAGTAAGGCCGACTGATTAAATGAGGCTCTGAAATGAACGGGAATCTAGCAATAATAGCATGGAGAGTGGGGAAAATCAAAAAGCGGAATAAATAATCTAACTCTAAGTTAACGATAAACTGGTACAGAAATCAAAAGTCCGAACACGGAGTTTAGGAGTAGGAAATAGCTGTGAACCTAACAAACAGATTGGCACCCGTGCATGATATATTAAAATATGTACCGTTCTAGGATGCCTCCGCAAACTTTTGCTCCTCTGTAAATGCACGTGTTAGTGCTGTAGCGAAAGCTATGTAGTTGATCAGACTTAAAGTTACGTGTTCTTAAGAGGGTGAGAGGTTCTTTAGTAAGGCCGACTGATTAAATGAGGCTCTAAAATGAACGGGAATCTAGCATGGAGAGTGGGGAAAATCAAAACGCGGAATAAATAATCTAACTCTAAGTTAACGATAAACTGGTACAGAAATCAAAAGTCCGAACACGGAGTCTAGGAGTAGGAAATAGCTGTGAACCAAACAAACAGAATGGCACCTGTGCATGATATGTTAAAATATGTACCGTTCTAGGATGCCTCCGCAAACTTTTGCTCCTCTGTAAATGCACGTGTTAGTGCTGTAGCGAAAGCTATGTAGTCGATCAGACTTCAAGTTACGTGTTCTTATTAGGGTGAGAGGTTCTTTAGTAAGGCCGACTGATTAAATGAGGCTCTAAAATGAACGGGAATCTAGCATGAAGACTGGGGAAAATCAAAAAGCGGAATAAATAATCTAACTCTAAGTTCTCCACTACCTGAATATTGATCGGGAACAGGTTAGCCGCGTATGTGGAAAGAGTGAGTTAGATTATAGGTAACAACGGGTAGTCTCAAGCTACCCGTCTTTGCACCGTAACTTAGCCATCTGATCTAGAAGAGGAAGGGAGGTTATCATCTACACATACTGTATTAGGAAGTTAATCGTGTCCTAGCTACAGATCATACCTTATTAAGAAGTTTATCGTATCCTGAAAAAAATACCTTATTAGGAAGTTTATCGTGTCCTAGAAACAGGCCATATAACAGAATTATCACTTTCTCCTCCTCCCAATCCACAGTATTCCGGAGTTTCTGCAACGTCACTAAAACTGCAAAACATTGTAAGTTCATATGTAGATTCTATAAAAGGTTTGAATTAAAGCAGAGAGGTTAATAAGCACTTATCATATTTAGATTATAGTTCAGTCAGTTTTTTTTGAGACGCCTCCATGAACCACCACGGGGCGACCTGCCCAGTAGTAAGAGCTGCCCAGTAGTAAGAGCTGCAGGAAATCACAAAAGCAATGAGGAATGTTGAAATTAAATGACTTTTGTCATTTATGGGTGCTTGTATAATAATTTTACCGCAAGATTTTGATAATCTTTGTAATAAACTAGTGCAATGATTGGACAAGTCACAATCAACAATGATAAAAGTGTTTTATATAAAATAACCTAAAGCGAGAATGTCGTTAGTTGACTATAAAATACAGTACCAAGCGATGTATTAAAGTAACACAATTATACTCGTTCTAATTGATATTAGCTTACTTTGATTCAACGAAAACCTTCCTTTTATCTGCTTTCGTGAAATTCAAAAGTGATGTTAAAGTAACACGAGCCCTTTAAAGCTTGCAGGGGTTCCTCCTATTATCGTTGATCAATTATGTACCAAGTACACTATGTAATACAGCAAAGTCGTCAGTCGATAACTGCTGTTAAAGCCATGAAAGTTCAAAGCGAGTGCAGAAACAAGAAATGGCGCGAAATCATAATGTTCAAGCCACACGTACAACGTATGATCTGCATTATGCTCCTTCATCAACTCATTCTAGTTTTAAACGATTTTGACACGCTAAAATGCGCGCGTGGATTTGCGCGGCGCGTAGAAAAATTTTAAAGCTGTCAGATAGAGGTTAATAAATTTTTCTACTGTCAACACAGCCCAAGTTATTCATGTTTTAATATCAAAAAATGTCCGATTTTTTTGTATTATTTTTAACTAATTTCCTTTTCAAATCGCTGCCACATCAAAATTATTTTACGAAAGTACATTAAATTTTCACAGAAAGCAAGCTGAATCGTTTTAGAACTAAATTAAAAAAGAATTTAATATAAAAATGTTAAAACTTTAAAATTATCGATGGAATAAATTGCCAACGTCCAAATATGTGTAAAATACGACGAAGGGAGGTCACAACACTGCGCGCAGGAGTGATAAAGAACCATTTGTGTTGAATCCCTTTTATTTGTTTTCTTTGAATTTTAAGATCTACTTCTTCTCACTTTTTTGAATTTTACTTGGGGATCCAATGCTTTGTTTTTATAGCACCCCGGCGAACGCCGCGGGCTTCATATTGCTGCGCGTGTTAAAACAAATTTTCGGCATAAATTTGTCAGGAGATCGACTGTAATTCCGTTTATGAACCTTTTAAAGATATTTGACAGTGCCGATTATCCCTTAAAGGATTTTCAATAGTGCCGAGGAAAAATAAAACATCAAATTCATTCATCTGAACATTAGTAAAGGTTATAATGATATCAAATCAAGATTTCAAACGTTACAATCATTAATTCTAATCAAGTATTGTCAACTGTGATTAAAGATCATAGCAAGGTATGCTATCCTATATGTAAGCTACAATGAGGAAGAAACAGCATTATACAACAGTATTACTGCTAGTAAATATAGGTATAATACCAAAATGTAACTATTAAAGATAAACTTATCAAATTTAAAATTGACACGAAACTAATACGCGGTTTATATTAGAATGCAACACAAACACTAAACACATCAAATAGAAACAAAAAAAGATATCTCGCACTGTCAGTCATTACATATTACAATTATGTAAATAACACCGAAGAACTCATATATCAACAGCTCGAGTAGCGCACACTACTAGTACTAATCTCGAGTGTCTGACAGTGGCAGGGGAAGCGTCCAAGGTTCGATGCCGCGACCGTGATCTTTTAAACATTTTGTGAAAGTCGTCTTTGTTTAAGAAGGTCCACTTCCAGTAGCCCATTTTCTCCCCACATAACATTTCTTCATCCTCAGCAAGACCTGTTTTATTTTCCATTACAGTAATTCCATGTTCCAATGAAATCTAACTCTTCAATTTTAATATCAGCGGTCGGATCCTGAAATATGGAAGTGAAACTCAGTAAATTTTTACAGTCAAGTAATACTATAACTTCTATTCGTAAAATTTTACAAGATTTGTTTCCAGTTTCGGACAAATTCACAATATTACTACATAACAACTTAGTAATGTAAGCAGTAAGGGCCCTCTCCTAATTTTAATCTGTAGAAGCGCACGTGCAAATAACGCGCGGCTTCAATGCAAAAATACGTGTGTGCTCTTGGCGCGCGCTAAAACTCTGCGCTGAAAATATTGGTTTGGTACCACAACGAGAGTTTTAAAATTCCCGCCAATTTCAAACTCCAGAAAAAGAATCCGAAATTTTGGGACAGCCTAAAACATATTCAGATGATTAATGCTTTTCGACTTTATTTGTCCGTAAACTGACAACTACAGCAAATCTATCTTCTCTACGAACTGGGCCCGAGTTACTTGTTTTAAAATACAGCAAATCTATCTTCTCTACGAACTGGGCCCGAGTTACTTGTTTTAAAATACAGCAAATCTATCTTCTCTACGAACTGGGCCCGAGTTACTTGTTTTAAAATACAGCAAATCTATCTTCTCTACGAACTGGGCCCGAGTTACTTGTTTTAAAATACAGCAAATCTATCTTCTCTACG